TAACATGGGTACACATATGCAGCCGTATCTTCGGTAGCGGTGATTGGTAAGATGCCTACGGGAAACTCGTCCGAAATCGATTTACAAGTCACTGAGAACGGAGGCTTTTTCTTCGCAGGATTTTGACCGTTTCACTCCGTTCTTTCGCCATTTCCCCCCTACTAGCATTTTAGGCTAAGTAGGAAACCATCGTGCCAACTGCCTTTAAAGACACCGTCGGACGCTCCGGAGATGACGAGTGGGCGGAACCAGGAAACTAACGTCATTGTTGCGCCCCTCCCTCTTCCCACCCACCCTAAACGACGGTAGGAAAGGCACAAAGGGAAGGGGTGCATTAATGAAATTGTGTCCTGGCCCCGCTACCCCCGGCAACCCCTAACGGGGATTTGTAGGGGCGTAGACAACCCAAACGCACAGGTCCGTAGCGTCCTTGCTACATAGTCTCGAGTGGCAAAAGTGGTGAGCGTTTTCAGTTGTAGAGTGGAGTTGGCTATTTTATATATGGATGGAATTACTCCACTAATCCTGGACTATGCCTTGGCCCCAGAAAAGGCCCTGTTGCGAGGGCTCCACTTCTGAATGGAGAGAGCACTAGAACTAACCTTAGCACTGACGTTACTCTGCGTACGATGATACTGTCTCTGTTCGACCAGTTGATTTTCAGCTGACGGATGCAGCATCTGATCTCTAGTTTCAAGTTCTCGTCGCTTCATAATGCTCCTCGGTTTATCATCCTGTAAATGATCTGACTAGCTAGGCCATGCCAGCGGTCCTAATAGAAGAGGAAAGCGTTAATGAGCTCATCCTTTTCACAGTTAGATGATCACAGCAAACAGGCCTTCACTCGTATGAAAGTGCGATCCGTTGCATGCAACATTGGCATAGAGGCGAATCGCTCCACTTTTCGATCGTAGGTCTCCTGTAGTTCACGTAAAGATTGTCCAGAATCATCAGCTACAGATGTGGATTGTCGAGCCACATGTGGCCAACCCTTATCCCTCTGAAAGCGAAGCGACGAAAGCATTAGCAAGATGGTTATGCGGTTAGGCAGAAAGAAAAGACGTTAGAAGCGATGATATGTTAGTGGAACTAGTTCTACTTCTAGCTGTTAGCTGGTAGGGCTGCGTTCATACTTTGCGGCAGCGTCCACTAGCGTCCGCCAGCGCGCTAGCATTCTGAGCGTCCTGCTGCGTCAGCGAGTAGGAAAGCATAGATATTTTGATCTAGCGTCTGCCAGCGTCTACCAGCGACTGGAGAGTAGAGAGTATGGGGAAGTAGGAGGGTAGCAAACAGCTGGATTAGGCGTCGTGAAATTGCGGCGTGTGCACCGCACCGTACTACTACACAGTATCGTGTGCTATAGTGCATAATTCTGCGCTTTAGCAATTGTGCGGTGCGGTTGCACAGGCCGCAATTTCACGACGCCTAATCCAGCTGTTTGCTACCCTCCTTTTTCCCCATACTCTCCAAACCTGGTTGCTGGCGAACGCTGGCAGACGCCAGACCGATATCTAACCATCCTAGTAACTGACGCTGCCGGACACTCGGAGCGCTACTGGTCGCTGATAGACGCTGGCGGACGCCGCCGCAACGTATGAACGCAGCCCAAAGGAAATCAAGCATGCCGACCTTGAGGATATCGTCTCGGGCACCATTCACTGACACAACGGATCGTGGTGAGAATGACTGTGTTGAGAATTGCCAAGTTGCTGTTGAAACATCCTGCAAAGGTGTGTTAGTAGAGATCAGGGAATCACACACATTCCAAACGGTGGGGCCGACTTTCAGCGGGACCAAAATCATATTATCCATGCAGAAAGTCGGCCATGAACGGAGGTGGGGTTAGGTCACTCGCACGCTAACTAGGCCGCAAAGCAACAGCTTGGAATACCGTGACATATCCTGAGCGATCATGCTCCCGTGTCGTCGACGTTTCGAGCGAGTTTCGCGACTCGAGCATATCGCGAACCTGGTCCTGAAACGAATGTCGTGATAAGGGCGAATGGGTTGAGAGCTTTATCTGTTTAAAGAGAAAAGACGATTCTGTACTGGCGACCTGTGTTGGACATGGATTTGCTTCAATTTCCAAATATCAGGCGCGAGAGCAGGCGGAGAGACTATATCTCAGTCCGCGAAGGTAAAGTCGTGTACAGTCTGATTCACTGCGAAAGATGGGGCGTGTCAGGGGGATGAGTGAGACGCAGCGCCAAGTCGTTTCTTTTCTTTTTCTCTTTTGAAATACGACAGCAGAGTATCACTTTATTGTTTCAGGCGTTCCTCCTTAATTATTGTCGCCTACCCGTTTCAAGTGAGGACGGGCTGGCAGCTCGTCAAACCTAACCCCATTGACACGCCCCATCCGCAGTGAACAAGGCTGAACAGCCGGTTCAGTGAGGTTCGCACAGCACTATGATCACTTGACATGTCCCATATTTCCTGGTCTGTTTTATATTGGTCTCAGATTTTGTGTGCGGGTGGAGCTGAGGGGGGGGGGGGGGAAGAGAAAGGGTTCATATTCTCGTAAGTCCTCTCGACACAATACAGCTTTTGCACTTCTGGAACAACGCTCAGAGACGCCAATCGGGATATCGGGTGAGTGGGGCAAGGAAACGACATCATTGGCGTGCTTCTGCTCTTCCCGCCTTCCACAACAGTCACAAAACAATCTTTCTAGATTCCTTTCCCCCTTCCTGCCCCCATCCGGTGACCCACGGAGGTTGTTCAAAGCTGGCACTCTGTCTAAAGAATGCTTAATCCTTCTGCCACCCAGTAACTGCCCGCCGTGTAACGTGAACACTGCCGTTGCCTTTCGAGGCCAGTGAAGAAGATCGACTATTTTCAGGAACAAAATTTAAACTACTTACTTTGAAAGCTTGAGGGACTGGTTCGGGTCCCTCCTTGACGATTTCTGAGTCGATGAGCTTATAGCCAGCTCGACGCTCTCGCGATCTTTCCAGTAACTGTTCACTTTTCCGTGCCAGCTCATCCAAATCTTCGTTCTAGAGTGCGATTGGAAGCGAAGCGACTCACTACTTGTCAATGAACACACACACGCACTCTTCACACGCTCCGAAAAAGAAACGTGTGGGTTTTAGCACCAAAGTAGAATCACTGTCCCAACATTTTTCCCGTTTTCTTGGGAACATTGTGGGGATATGGTGGCTCTCATGTTGTGAGCAGCAGTCTCACAAATTGCGACATTTCGCCTGCGCTAGACCTTGCAGAAAGCTGCCTGTATTCTTTTCCCTATTGAAACAACACACGCAGACAACGAGAGCCAGTTTTCCCGGTTTACGGCTAATAATGATCCCCTAGAGCTGACCTAAAAAAGGCACTATAAGGAACGGTAGAATACCCAAGCTTCTCAACTGAGTAGGTCTCATAATTACAGATTTTGAGGTTGATGCGGGACAACTGAGACAAAGTTCACGAATATGCGAACTCGAAC